GAAAGGCCGTGTCACTCGACCCTTTCGGTTTAGACAATCGGTAATTGATTTACTCCCTCACCCAACTCTAAGGTCGGACGGTTTAATCACAAATTCACAATTAATCGACTTTCTTAACTCAATATTGAGGGTCGCCCTAACTTACCCTAGTTTAGGTGGCTTAGAAAGTGGAAGGAAAACCAACTCGATTGAGTCTCCCTTGAAAGGGGGATTTTCCTCTCTAAACTAGGCTAAGGTGGCAAATTAGATTACTAGCACCTAAATGCCAAACCTAGGGGGTGCTAAGCACAATTATGCACAATCCTTAGGTTTCTAAGCACCTAAATGCACAAACCTAATGATGCTAAGAACAAAACATGCACAACCCCTAAGTTGCTAAGCACAAGCATGCATAATCATGGGGAATAATGCCTCAATCATTGAATTGAAAAATACTCAATGACAATCATCTAAAACACATACAAGAAAAATACATGGTAGAGTTAGGGTTTCACTACACCCAAGTGAAAGGAGGTCTACTTCATGCTAGAAGTGGGAAAAACAAAAGGGAAAAAGGTGGAAACCATCTTTGAGGATGCTCCTAGTCTTCTTGACCCTTGAGTTGAGCTTTCCTTGGGGGAAATCTTCCCAAAGTCTGCCTTGAAGCCAAACCCTAACCTTCTTCTTCCCTTTGGTTTTGTTTCTCTCACTAGAATGCTGAAGTAGGTGTTTCACACAAAAGTGGGCTCTCACCTCTCTCTTCCTTTCAGCTCATCTTTCTAAACCCGTTCACGGCCTGAGTTCATGGCCGTGAACCATGAAACGCGTCTGTGAACTCCAGGCGTGCGCCAAAACGCGCCGCATCGCTCACATCTGTTCACGGTCAACTGCTTGTGTTCACGGTCTTAGTGACCGTGAACTCACCTTGCGTCAGTAACCTTCACATTGGCTATGGACGCCTCGCGATTCAAGGTCAACCCCTCTTCTTCACGGTCTTGCATGACCGTGAACTCCCTCAGTTAGCCGTGAACTGGCTCTTTTTCACCTCTTCTCCCGGTTTTCGATCCTTAATCTTTCGACTCCGAAGCTGGTTTCACCTGTTAAATCCTGAAACACACTCAAACACGAAGAACCTAGCGTAAAACCAACCTTTTAGGAGCGAATTTGGCACAAACATCTAATTAAAACGGGGCAAAACATGTGCAATTAGGCCCGAATCAGGCAACAACTCTCTGAATGCCAACTGCTCAAGAAGCTCCAGGAACTTGTTCTTCTACTTCAACATAGTTTCCCCTCTGTAGCATCTATTGTTTCAGAGGCTGATGTAGCAGATTTTGGTTCCTAATTGTTGTATTCTTTCTATTTGTTTTCTCAATTAGTCTATCAGTTGTGTAATTAGGTGGACAATTGTTGAAGGGTTCTAGTTAGGGTGGCTCAATGCTACCCTTTATTGATGAATAAATGACTTATTCATCGGGGGTAAAAATTCTCTTCTCCAATCGAATCGAAATCCACCTTCTACTTGAAATTTGACAACTATGGATGATCATCTAGCAAATATAATCTCTCCCGCGAATTCTAAAATCTAAAGCATACAAATTCACCAAACACTTGGAATAACCGGTAGAAAAAATATGAGACATTCACCAACCTCTAAGTCCCCTCATCCACTAAACTTAAGCACATTCCCGACAATGTCATTGAGTACACTATGTTCGCCATAATCGTCGTGGATAAAGAAACAAGTAGGAAAGTATTCCATGCCTTTTGATTTGGAGCAAGTGGCGGTCACAGACAACGACATTGCTAAGGAAAAGAAAATGGTGAAGAAAGAAGAAGAATAATAAGGGAAACTGGATGAAATGGTCGAACATGAACGTATGGATTTGGGTTCAAAAAAGATTATATATGGGGTTCAAGATTGGAAGGGGTCCTTATATTGGAAGGGAGGTTCCATGATGTATCAATGCTATACATGCAATATGTACTCTATTGCCAACTAAAAAAATTCCTACAAATGTTGATGATGCCGACATATATATGTTTTTATCCTCATTCCTCAATTTTTTACTTGGTTTTAGTAGTTTCTTAGTCTATTTCATGCTAGGTTATATTCATTTTATCATATTTCATGTCCAAGTATGTGCATAGAGCTTAGGAGGGAGTTTCGGGGTGATCGGGTGTCAAAATGTGTCGAGAAGTAAAGGCAGAGTCCATCTCATGGCCTGGGAGCCCATCTCATGGCTTAATCATTGAGATGCACCACAAAACCGTGAGATGGCCAAATTTTCCAGCAAATTAAAGGTGTTTCGCGGCTTGTCTCGCCCCTATGTCACGGCCTACGTCATGACCATGACATAAGCCGGGACATCCCTAAGTCGTGGTCTGAAGGGGATTTGATGAGTTAAGTTGAAACACAGAATTGTGCATTTCATCCCCTATCTCACGCAGTCTATATATTTTTCCTAACTAAAGATTTGTGATATCCTAGATTTATCATGGGTATGATAGAAGCCACTATATATAATCGCCATTTTGAATAGGCGATTCATATCAAAACGATGTCAATCATTACTTGTGACATGATAGACATGAAACCCCATGAATTTACAAAAGAAATCATTATATATTTACTTTGATTTGAAGGATTTAAGATTTAGGGATTTAGGGTTAGGGTTCACATTTTGGGATTTTGGGTTGGTGTTCAAAATTGAAGATTTAGGGGTTAAAGTAATTGATTGATTAGTTGTGATCATTTATTATATCATCGTATTATACTAATGCTACCAGTTAAAATTCAAAATTTGATGTCTATGGCTAACTTTAGAGTTGAGTGCATTCAATGCACCCAAAAAAATGAGTGCACCGAAGTAGTCACCATATATATATACATATATATATGGTTCAGGCTAGCATACACCAGGTGTATATAGTACGCCTGTGTTCACACCTATAAATTAATTATTAATTATTTTCATTTAATTATAATCAATTTAATTATTGATAATAAATATAATTACAATCATAATCACACGTTAATTGTTGTATACATTTTAGTCCCATATCATTTTTTTGTCGTACATTAAACTCAAATCAATCCTTTAACTATTAATTATATAAATCATAATACTGTTTTCTCCAAATCTTAATTTTACAACACCCGAACTTTAAAATTATCTGCAACTTTCATTCCTCCCTAGTCCCTACAACAAAAATTGACCACGCCGTTTTGTCATCATTCAATCTCTATTCATCTTTTCTCCAGAAAAAAGAAGTATTCATTCATCTCTATCTCCTTCGTCTAATCATCTTCTTCATCAGATGTGAGAGGGTGGTTTTTACTTGTAAATCCTTTGTTCCTTTAACTACCATTCTCCCTTGATTCAGATCGGCCCGCCATAGCTTTAGATCCCCATTCGCCAATAGCCGAATCCCCTTTGCCAAAAATCGAGCATCATAGGTCAACCAGGAGCTGGGATCCCCGCCTTGAGCAATCGATTTCGTTGAAATAGGTACAAGGAATCCCCAATCCGTATGTCTCTTCAGTTCTTCGACGCGAGCTGTACTGGCTGGCCCTCGTCTTAAAGACCTCATTCATCCAAACAGGTATCGTTTGCCGATTTCGTTCCAGCTGCTGTCAGTCTCGAAGGGATTTCGCGATCCTAACCGTCTCTGGTGCTGTATATGAAACGCCCCTCAGGTAAAATCCCTAACCTTTCTTTTGATTCCCCTGATTTTCTCTTTCCGCTGTACAATACGTCCATGCCATCTGCAGCTCTCGATTGATCGGTTAAGTAGGATAAATTGCATTTCTCCTGTCTTTCCCTGATCTCCCCAAACCCGATCGGCCTAAACCTTTAAGAAGAATTCGAACTCACTTCTCTAGGTCCCTAAACCCTCTTCTTAGTTTTGCCTGCTTGTAGCATTAGACTACTGCAACATCGCCTTCCCCTCCTGCCCAGGCCACGAGCATGCTCTTTGAGCCGTTTCCTGGAGGCTTCTTCTCCTAAACACTTTGTCCCTCAAGACTTTTCTCGTGCCAGGATAAGTTTCTTCAACAACTCTTCCCGACGCTTCAGCTCGATTTCTGCTTCCGGTACCCTTGTTTGGTTACACTACGTAGTTGCCTTAGAAGTTCTTTTGCTGTTGTTGCTCCGACCAGTTTCTGTATTTGTATCCATCCTTATATGACAGCTTTGGCGAGATATTTTTGTTTCATTTAATTTATTTCAGATTCACCATTCATACATTTCATTCTGTCTTTGCAGGGGTTGAGGAGAGGCATATTGGGATCATCGTCTATGTTTTATAATATGTAGTGTTTGCGGTTTGCCTATTACCATTGATGTGGGTACAACCAACTAGAAATTGATGATGAGGATGAAGTGTGCATAGGACTTAAACAAGGAGGCCTACTAGCCAGGTACCATCCTCTCCCTTGAATAGAATTCAGGTCCAGAGTTTTGTGGCAATTCAATTAGCAAATGCCTCATTACTTGTCCGACCTTCTGCCGCCTATTGTTCTCTCAACAGTTTCAGGAGAAGAAACTGATGAACTCCATTACACAGTATCAGCTACTGATCCAGAAGTACATGGTTATGATGGAACTCGAGGTAGCTTTCTATCTTGTTATTCTATTCCCTTTAGATGAGTCGAATTGAAGTAGCTTTGACTGATTGCCTCGTTTTTTCATCAACAAGAGAGGAACAAAAGATTGTTCTATGAGTTTCTCGTTGACGATGTGGAGGAGTTGTAGCCACCTGTCTACGCTCCACAGCTGGGGAAGCTTCCCAGAAATACGACAACATTATAAGGAGCGCTCAGGGTTTATACATCAACTTGAAAGATAAGTATAGACATTATGATTCATTTCTGTGAATAAGTGATCCGGTTTTGTGCTAGTTGAATGTTTCAGTTCCTTACAAAATATGATTGGTTGGCTGTACAGGAGGAGAGTTCTTGATGTGCTGAAGAACTGGCCTGGGAGGAGCATACAAGTCATTATTGAAAAATGTAACTCAAAAAAAAAAAAAAAAAAAGATTTAGTGCCTCACTCCAGTGAAGCAAAAGCATGGATGAGGCAACTCTAATCATGGTGAACACATTTATTTGGTTGGCAATTGATTTACAGCATACCAAACAGAAGCAAAGCAACAGGATGTGGCCCTCTAGTGAACCAAGATGTCACAAAAAGCAAGCAGAAAAGATATTCATAACTACTAGATGTAGACAAAATCAACCATACAACAAAGGAATTCGCCTAAAGGATCATAGAAGCCCCGTTTTATATTAGCCAACTGTATCATATCAGCCACCTGTAAATGTTTCATATCACCAACAGTTTCAGATTAGCCAGGATTTCGTCTTCTCCTCTCAATGCATCATATCAACACTGGAGTGACAGTTCCATGACTAAGAATCATGCTAGATATATGTATGTATCACCCCATTTGAGATTCAAATCACATAGTATGATAGCTGTACTACCTCCAAAAGGTATTGCATCCATGGAATAATATCCAGCACCTGTAAATCCACAATCAAGAGAATAGAAGTCATCAAGGTTTGCTCTGTATCGAAACAATTGAAGGAAATTAGAAACATATCTTGTTTCACAAAATGCTGCACTTCTTGTTTCTATCCCTAATGTGGTTCTTCCTGACCAAGCTCGGACTCTAAACCACTCTACCTCTGTTGATGGCACTAACTTTATCACACTAACTAGGAAAAGGGTTCATCCCAAGACTTACTATCTTGATTTATTGTAACTACCCAAAAGCACATACATCGAGCAGCAATCACATCAACCTAGCAAGCTGGCCAAACATGTATAAACAGAACCAAATGCTCTCTGTCCAAAACTGTAGTAAAATGACTTGTCGCTTCCTGGATAACCCTGCATTCTGGTGAAGTAATGATTATGAAGAAACCACAGGCAAAGAGCTTTATAAAAGACCTAACAGCCATAGGTGAAGATAGTTGGGAATAGTAATACACCAGCACATTTCGGTCACGACACTTTGATTCACACCTTCCAAGGACCAGAAGGTTCATCAAAAAACATCAGAAATAAAATTGTGCCTACCTTTTCCATCGTGCACAGATCGGTTGGCTCAAAACCTTTGCTTTTCTCAAGCCACTGCACTTAAATAAATAAATAAGATGGTGGGAGAGCAGAGCCAGACCCAGACTGTCGCTTGCATTCTTGAGCGAATGCTTTGTAATCAAACCCAGATGGAGGGAACATGATGTGTTATGTTCGAGTCATCGGCATTACCATCTCCGTGCAAGCCTGGATAGTAGAAAAAAGAATCAATCCCATGAATGAAGATGAAGAAAAGCTTCAAACTTCCATATTTTTTCTCCGCTCACCTGCCAATCCCAGCCATGCAGGCCATGAGAATCAGGAGCATGTTCCAACTCGAAGCACTTGTGGGATTAAGAGTAGTTTTAATACAAGCTGGCTGCTCCAAACACTCTCGCGAGCTTTGAGGTTCCGGCTGGGAATCTTGCACGTCTTTTGATCACATAAAGGACCAAAGTAAGTTGGAAAGACCCTCTGAACAGCTGAAGATTTTCACATCAAATCAGATAATAAAGTCTGCTAACTTCCTCAACAGGGTACGCAGGGAGTGGAATCATGAAATTTGCCTCGGTTGGGTATTTCACCATTGCTGTGTATACATATGCTGACCATAGCCAGTCCAAAACTGAATCTACTGACTGCACATTTCTGCAGAACCAAAAAAGACAACGAATTTAATCATTGCAAGTGATAACCTAACACATCGCTCACAAATGCTAGCTCAAGTTTCTTTTGATTTTCGGTATGCAACTGCTTTCAGCCTTTCACATAAACGAGGCAATAGGCAATAGTGCTAACTACTCACTTGCAAGCTCTGATGGTTCTGCTTATTTCAGCTAATCCTTGTTTCTTTGCTGAAAATGTCAAGCTCATCCCAGCTACTCTTAATCACTTTGTAAGTGTTCAGGCTTGCCTCCTATCATTCATGTTCACATTTTAGGCATAGCTTGAAACAAAGAAGACCCTAATAAAGAGCATAAAGATGGCTGAGAATGAAAGGTAAGACTAGAAACCTTAAAGTCTTGGGAAACAACATCATAGAAGCTGGACAAGGGATCTGGGCCTCCTTACTCAACCCTGTCGACGTCCTCCACGGGGACATCGGCTCCTCCCATCGTCCTCTAGAACAAGTCCGCCAACACCGTTGAGCTTCTCCGCCTGGCCGCATGAACTATGGACAAAGGGGCCTGCTTGGTGTCGGTAACTTCCATCGAATTGAGCTCCGATCCGCTGCGAGATGAAGATGAGCAAAGGAGTCGGAGAGTTTTGAGAGATGAAGTGCAGAGAAGAGATGTGTTGAGATAACGGATCAGATTTTTCAATTCCCTCTTTGAGATTTTTCAATTCCCTCCTTGACTGAAGATTGAATACATGTCTGTCAAATAGACCTCGCCGCCTGGGGGAAGAAGAATAGAAGTTAAATGAAATTCTATAAGAAATTGAATTGGTAAAGATGGAGAATAGATTTCTAATTCTAAACACAAAATTTGGGTATACAAATTTTGGGTATTCAAATTTGTGATTTAGAAAAAGAAGTTACGAAAATTTATATAATCGAGAGTTGTATGATTGATTTCAGCATAATGAATGATAAAATTTATGCGGTATTCAACCTTACAAGTCAATTATTTAATGAATGTGATTGTAATTTTAATTATTTTTAATAGTTAATATACTCATAATCAAATTAAAAATATTCAATAATTAATTTATTAGTGTGAACACAGGCATACACCGTACGTCAGGTGTACGCTAGCCTTTGCCACATATATATATATATATATGAAGAATTTTACGGTACACTCACAAAGATGAGTACATGCCATACACCTAACTTTAAAACTAGGTTTAAGACATCAAATATCGTATTTTAATTGTTCGCATTAGTATAATATGATGATATAACATATAATCACAACTAATCCATGCATTATCCTAAACTCGAATCTTAAATTCTAAAACCTAACCCTAAACCCTAAAGGCAAAATACACTTGCATAGTCACAGCTTTTCCAATTTGCCAATAATAGCCACTTTTTGAGAATACACAAATGTCCACTTTCGTCCAATTCCTTTACGGTGTCAGCAGAGTGGCTGACTGGAATAACGGAGGTGCTGACCTGGCAAAAATTCATTAGTGAGGTGGACTTAATGATAAATTAATCTAACATTTTTATTTACTCTATCTACTCTCTCTTCTTTCCCCCTCCATCTCCCCTACCGCCGCTCCCACGACCCTACATCTCACTCAACCCCGCCCCAATCCTTAACACAATCCACCATCACCGAAACTCCCTTCAAACCAAACTCCAGATCTGGAAAAGCCGACACCACTGCATCGTTCGTCATTCGCCGCAGGGAAGAAGAGAGAGAAGGGAAATCTGAACTAGTCCTCGCTTGTTTCGTTTTCTAGGTCGGAAACTCCATCTGTCGAGCCGCTCTAGGCATGAAAACCGGAGAGTGAGTCAGAGGAGAAAGGAACTCTGATCTGAAGGTGCGAAACGCAGATCATATAGGCAGCATCCGATCCTAGAGAAGATCTATGAGTTCACATCGGCGATCCGAAGCGAGGAGTTGGCTATTATTCTCAAAAAGTGGCTATTATTGTCACAAACACGAAATTTTTGGCTATACAGATGTATTTTGCCAACCCTAAATTATAAATCATAAACCCCAACCCTAAATCCTAAACTCTTTAAGTCAAAGTAAATCTTGAATGATTTTTGTGCAAATTCATGTATTTTCTTGTCCATCATATTACAAGTGATGATTGACATTGTTTTGGGATGAATTGCCTGCTCATAATGATGATTATGAAAAAGTGAGTGCAGCAACAACAATCGCTGACCAAAGACAAAATTATAAATGAGTCAGGATGCTATACTAATGTAGTATATATACAATACTCTATGTACACCTAGTCAATGCAGTAAAAAAAATGTCTTAAAGCATTAAAATGTACGTTCTTACACTCTAGGATCACAAAAACGAGTTAGTTTCTACATTAAAATATTTTATGTACAAAATTGGTCAAAATCGTTAAAAATGGTAAAAAAAACGTTAAAACACGTTTTGTTCCATTTGTGCATGAATCTAGTAACACCTCCACTTTTCGAGTCATAACTCCTTTGTTTGACCTGTGAATACATCCCTGTTTGCGCCCACGAGTCCGTATTCTTTCCCTCTACAATCTCATATCATCGTTCCTCATTATTCAATATTTTTTTTTATATGAATAGGATTATTTTCTCCCCTTAAGATTGTAAATACCTTGAATTTTGAAATACTAAAATACACAAAACTATACATACAATAAAAAAATAGGGGCACAATAGAATAATGGAAAGAACAAGCAAAATGAAAATATGGTTAAAAATATGTCTAAATTATTTTCTATCAGTGATGATGTTGCTCTACACTCTTCTGCTCATCTGTTGGCCTTTAGTTTTTCTTCCTTCTTGTATGTTCATTTTGTTCTTTCACTCCAAATTTAATCGTTGATGTATCTTATGTCGTCTGAAATTCTCTATGATTTGTAGAGGATTCGGAGATTAAAGTATGTCAAGAGGATAGTGAAAAAGAGAATATGGCCATGGCTCTGGCGGTAGATTCATTGTAGTGATTAGGGAGAAGACGACAATGATGTTGATGATCGATGATGATGATGGAGATGACGAATACTTGGATGCAAATGTAATTTGAAAAAAGTAAATGCAAAAAATTCAAACAAAAACGTTACTATAAAACAAAGAGAAGATACATGATAAATCCAGAAGGAATACCCATGCTCTGTCCAACCCTGCCCCATACTAAAACCTGCCCAACGCGAGGGTATCATCTAGCAAGTTTGAAGAAGTCCATTTATTTCATCCAACAATCAAAGTAATTAATATCAAGCACAACTATACAACTGACCTATATATTACGGCAAACCCTTGCATTCTTATAAACCTTCCCAGGCCTACAAAAAAACCCTTCACCAGGTGCACAGTGCCTATCTTCCAAACACACACACAAGCCTTCCAAACCACACCCGTCTCTGACAATCATCAAACCACCCCTCAGCCCTAGAACTTGATCCGTCCAGTCGCTTGAAAATAGCCCCAATGGATCATACTCTTCTTTCACCCTCACAAACTCCTCACCTTGCTTATACTTCCTCATAGCCCCCTCGAATGCCACGTTACGGTTCTTCCCCCAATGTGGCAAGCCTCCGTACTTGAACACAGCCATCTGCTCGATCTCCTCGAGAACGTCCTCGAACAGACGTGGCATCGCGGGGTCCTTGCTCCTGTAGTATGTTAGGTCAAAGTCTAGCCCATCCTCTTGCTTCCCAAGATAGGCGTTGGATGCGGTTACATAACGAATGAGGATGCCATTGTATTGGTCAATGACGCACATAGACCTAGGGTCCAAGGCGACCAACGTTTGGACGTCGTGGATGAAGTCCTTGGCGTCGGATAGGGCAATGCTAAAGCTAGTTTGGTGGAAGAACTGGGCTTTGATCCTCGAGTCCCATGGGCAAGCCGTGATTAGTCCGTCACTCGCACTGTCGAGACAGCTTCCAGAGGCTTGGAGGTGGTTGTGATAGCCTATTACTGGGTACGCGGTGAAGGTGAGACCGTCGTTGGTTAAGCCGAAGGCTGCGGAGTCGAGGGCAGATGATAGAAGCTTACCGCTCAGGCATCTCGCGTCAGCATCCTTGGTTGATTCTTGAATATCCTCTGTATGTATATATGTGGTACACGAATTTATTCATTAATGAGGGAACGGAGCCCTAGCAGGTGTTGCATGCTAAGGTTAAGGTATAGGTGGGTTGAGAGACTGACCAACGGATCTAATGATGGCCAAGGCTGAGGAGAGGGTAGCACGGAAGCCGATGAAGTCATAGATGCCATTTCCTACCGCATTAGAAGGGACGCGATCGTCGATCCTGTAAATGACTTTGCCCTGACTGGGAAACCATGACAAATCAGCAAACTCGTGTTTGCTTCCAAAAGCAATCGCCTCGTCCCCGAGCTCCTTGTCATCTTTTTGCATGTAGGTCAAGGATCGTTTGAACAAGGGTTGGAGTTTGAATGTCACCTGCTCCAACAGAACCCACTTGGTGAATATATTGTTGAGCCTTTCGAGTTTTGTTATTTATACCATGAATTAACTGGAATTTGTGGCATAATACTATATTAATGGGTTAACCACAGTCCCCAAGTTTATAACTCAAACCATAAGATTCATTTAATTTTAAAAATGAAAATTAATCAAAATTATTAAAATAAAAATAATATGGGAACATGAACGTGTTGCCGTTGTAAATCGCAAATCCCATGCATGCTGACAATAAACAACCAAATTTGTAATTAGGGTACGTACCTTGTAAATAGCTCCAAGGACGCCGAGCGAGACCTTGGCAGCATTGATCTCAGTGCTATCGCCTTCCTTCAGCCTCCTCACTCTCACATAACCATCGGCGGCCCTTCCGGGGCTGACCATCGTCATCTCCGCCACGTAATCATGGACTGCGCCGCCTTGTCGGGCCCATAAGGAACTCCCGTGGGCCCCAGTGGCGAGCATCCCTCCCACCGTCAGACCCCACCAATACGGCGAGTAGGGCAGCGCCAGCCCGGCCTCCGCCGCGGCCTCGATCAGCTGGCGCAGGGTCACCCCGCTCTCCACCGTCACAGTCATCGCCTCCTTGTCCACGGAGAGGACGCGGTCGAGGAACTTGGTGCTTATCAGGAGGCCGCCTTCGCCGCCGGGGCAGGCCAGCTTGGGGATGCTGTGGTGGGAGCGGGTGGCTACCTTCATCTTCCGCCGCGCCCGCGTCCCGTCGGCCACCACCGCGATGAGCTCGTCCTCCGTGGCGGGGTATGCGGCGCCGGATGCACGACACGTGGAGCGGTCGGGGAAGGCGCCGATGTAGTTGGTGATGGTGCAGGAGGTGGTGCTGTTGGAGCAGTGGATGGGATCCTCTGGAGGTGGAGTGCAGGTTGATGGAGAGATGATGATCAAGGACGACGTTATGACCACCGCGATGAATATCATCGTGGAATGGGCCGGGGAGATCGAGGAGGATTTGGTAAGGAGGGTGTTGAGGAACCGCGAATTTCAATCAACCAGATTATGTAGAGAGCGTACGTACGTTGTCGCATCCGGAATGAATGAATGTATCGTTAGCTACCAGCTGCCTCCCTCCCACCCACCACATACAAGAAACACGCTAGCTAGCTATTAATGGGCGGATAGACTTGCTAGTAGAGGCCATTATATATGATGTTTCTTCGCGTGTGCGGGGTTGAATCCTACGCACGCACTGCCCTACCACCGGAGTCTCCTTCTGGATGTGCTTGAGATGTGATACTAATGCTGAAATAGGCTAGTTTATTATTACGATATTGTTCGTTCGGATCAACACCAACACCGCACAAATTTATTTTTCGGTATCCTCTTGAAAAGGACTTGTATTAGTGGAGTTTGGTGACACATATATACAAGGTCATTTCCTTGTATTTTCGACATGATACTTGAATTTTTCGATGACAACCATCCTCTTAAAATAAGGACCACGAATTTCATGTTATCTCCTCATTGATTATCTTGTTCCACTCCACTTATATGTCAGTCCGATGCGTATCTCCTTTCATCTGCCAAACAAACACAAATCTCAAATCCTCGGGTCAGCAAATGAGTGTCCACCGTACTTACGTCCACTGCCTTGGATCCAAACCATGCTTTGATACCACTTGATGAGACTGGCTGATCCATTATTACGATATATTCCATTTTGAGTCAACCCTGCACAAATTTACTTTTTGGTATATCCTAGCCAACAGGCCTCGTGCTAATTTGGGCTAAATGGACACTTATATACAAGGGTAATTTCCCTTGTAATTTCTATTGCGGTACTTGGATTGTACAATAATAATCCTCCACTCAAGACAAGAACCATGAACTTCGTCTCTTCCCCTCAGCTATTATCTTGATCTACCAGACACCTTGTATCGACATGCCCCCCCCCCCCCCCACAAGGAGTTACTTTATCCATATCTCCACTAATATATCGAACAAACACAAATCTCCTTTGATCCTCCGAATAAACATAGATTTCAAATCACGAGGTCGTAGAATGAGGATCCACCAAACTTACATCCACTTCCCCGAATCAAAAACTCCAAAACAAAATTCTTATACCACTTGCTGAAATCGGGTGATATAGTAGTACGATATTGTCCTTTTTGATGGACACTAATATACAAGGGTCATTTACCGAGTATCTATGATGTGGTACTATTGGAATATACCATATAACAATCCAATCCTCGACACAAGTGACTCGCTCTAAGCTACTCTCCCAATCGAAGCCAATTATAACCAACAATCGGGTGTAGTATAGTGGAAGTAAAGTAATAAAATTATTGAAACCTAGATCTCTAGCTAGGTGTATCGTTACTCCACTTCGGTTTGTTATCTAGCCACACAAGATTTTAGATTAATAAACTAAACTAGCTAAACTACTCTAACCACTACACTAACTAATTACAAGTTGGGAGTTCACTTAGGCATTGATTCCCCCTAGCTACTAACTAGATCAAAGATTGATGATTCTCTAACTTAATTTAATTTATTCTTCATTCATGATGCGAATAATTCTTGACTAGACCTTGAATCTCTATTCGAGCAATCAAGGCCCTCTTGATTCGTTTGCTTATAGGGCCATAACCTTCTCTAAAACAACCGATCAAGGTGTTTGGCACTAGACCCCTCTATTGAGTGAGGTTCCCGCACAATACAAAGCAAAGAATCAACTCACTCTCGTGTTATCAATCCCTTACTCCCAATCCATGATGCTCTAATTTCCTTAATAAGATTTTCTCTCTCATAGATCATTATTAAAACATGCATATATTGGATATGAACTAGAGAATATCCAGATAGAGTACTCATACAATCATTCAATCAAGCTAAACATGCTAACGGTTCATCAAAACCTAAGTGAAGGTGAATTATTCCATAGAGAGGAGAGAGAATAAAATCTAAAACTCAAGATCTTCAAACTTCATGTCTAGACTTGATATTCTAGCTTCAATGGTGATGGTTGCCTCCAATTTAGCTTGAAGAACACCGCTAGATCCCTCTCCTTCTCTTTGAAATGCCTCTTGGATGTTTTTGGTTGAAAACTAGTGAAGTAAATCGAGTTCTAAATCCTAGAGATGTCAAGGATCGAATTCTATAGGGTCTTCCAATGGTAACTACGCAAAACTATGTTATGGTGTTGAGAGATGAATAACAAAAGTATACTCGATGGGTTAAGGTACCCTAATAATTTTGAGTAAACAACTAATTAAAGCAAAGATTAAAAAAACACACAGATTTTAAACAAGTAAGAGATTAAGTTTCTTAAGAAGTATGATTTATATAAGCATGCATACTTTCTCATTGATATAGGATGCTTATATGCATCAATGCTTTGGTTTCACTCTATCCCTTCAACTAAGGCAAGCCTACTCCAGCTTTCATCACATGTGATAGGAGTTTAACTAGCTCATGTGTGCTTTCGATTCATGTCACCAACTAATTAATTAAGCGCAAGGAAATAAAGACATCACATCGTTAAGTGTGGGTCTCTTGAGCCATAATGATGGTCTATGGTATTGAAATATCAAAGCATCAATAATTAATCATCATCATTTGAGCCTATAGGGTTGTACCTTCCCACTATACACGCCTAATGATGATGCATCTACACAAGAGTAGTTTCCTATAACTCATTATAGCAATATAAACATTACAAATAGTAATGCACAATAGAAAGATAGAAGGCATAAAAGAACTAGACCATCGATGCTCTAGGGCATCATATTATCTCATAGAAAACACTACGTGACATATCATAGAATTTACATTCCAAACAATAAGGGTTTAGCTAGTCATGCGAGATAAGGAAGAAATCACCATAGATAAGGTAGGCATCGATGGTGGACTCATTCTCTCCTAAATCCGATAGAGGTTTAGGCGATTCTAAGTGTAAAATTGTTATACTATCCAAGTCCGAATACCTATTTTTAGTACAAGAGATATGGTAAACTAGGGTTTCTCCCTCCTAAAACTTTGTCAGAGCTTCCTAACACCACCAGGACTCGGATTCTCTGTCTAAGGGCCGAAGTAAGGTCTTCTAGGACTTTTTTTTGGGCTTAGAGATAGAGTAGAGGCTGGGTGGCGGCTGAGGCCAACGCCCTTTTTCTTCTCGGGATGACTTCCTTGGCCCATAAGTAACCTAACCAGAAGTTTTCTCCTTGATTTGGGCTAGGTATGCAGAGTGGCGGCTAGACTCAACAATGGACCACAACTAATTCTTGCTCCATCTTGAGTCAATTATTCCTCCATTAGGATCCCTTTGGGCTTTAGTTGTGAGCTCCATTAGGTTTCTTCGTCATTGGACCTCGTCTTTAACATGAAAACTCCAAATTGCTTTCTCTTTTGCTCCTCTAGTTCTTCAACTTTATCCAATGTTTGATCCAAATCCTTCTAGATTGTATTTAACTTGAAAAGGACCAAAACATACCAAAAGGCAATAAAAGAATAGAAGAACACAACCTAGGGCTATTAAATGCTCATTGATCGAATAATTATGATTTATGTATGAAATAAATGAAAATATACTAAAGATGCATTGATATAAGGGGAAAATGTATCAATTATGGGTGTGATAAACACTATATATGGAGCGTCATCAGACATACCCCACACTTCAACTTTGCTTGTCCTAAAGCAAACACTACTCGTAATCGTATAACTCAATGAAACCTACAATCATCACTCAACCATGATCTTGGGTAGTTGATAAAAGGTAAACTTGTAAGGTCAACAATAGCACGAGAGACTCCTGACCACGTCAATATGCAAGAATTGCATGGAATTTAACCAAAGCATCAACAACTAATTATGTATTAGAGTCTCAAAACAATAGGGTGAAGCTTTCCATAAATGATTTCACCTTTGAATGATACTACCATCCTCTTGATATTCCTTTAAAAACTTTTGCCTTCTTCAAACATGATAAGAGCTAAAATAGCTCAAGACTTGCGCAGTCGGAGGCTTGATTTCAAACCCAAGAAACGAAACACAAACAGAGCACGATGGTGATGAAGTTGGCAATTACGGAAGGGTTTGTCCTGCAGTTCCACACCTAGGGAATGGCTCGAAAAAAATAAGATGGGTGCCCGACCATGATCAACGCGTTCTTGATCGATACTGAGCTCACGAGTTCAGAATCCTCCAAACTCAATTCACAAGACACAACGTGTTGCTTGCAAACTGTAGGGTTATATTCTCCAAAATAAGTCTGCGTTTACAAGGCCATTCAAGCCCTTTAAATAGGTTGAGCATTACCGAGTTCTGAACTAACAAGGAAAGAAAAAATAAATAAACAACTTGATGTAAATCCTACAAAAACTAGTAAACTTAAAACTCAAGTAAGATACTTCCCACGACAGCAACATCCCGTGTTCAACCAAGCCACTTTACAAGCTTGGACCAGTCCCTTCCAGACTCCATCTTGATCATCCAATGCCTTCTCGTGGTTTATCGTAACTCCAGCTCCTCCTGGTTGTACTCCAAGCCCAAGTTATGGCTTGGTAACAATTCTGGGGTAAACAAGGGTTTTGATGACCCCATGAGTGCTAATGATGGTCTTGATTTTGGTAATCTTCAATGTTATATGACTTGGGTGGAGCTACAGTTACTGAGTTTATAACATCAGAGGGTGGCAATACTAATTTTGGTACTGCTGAAGGAGAGGTAGATCCAAAACTAGAGAAGTTCATACAAGATGCTAATTGTCCCCTTATTCTTGGTTGCATAAATTTTCAAAATTGTCATTTCTTACGAAAATGATGAACAATAAAAGGACAACAAACAGTAGCGATAAAGCTTTCAACTTGAAAAGCAAAAAACATAGTCCTGCGATTAGCAGGGGAACGAGTTTATTTAACCTCGGCTTGCCACTAAGGAAATCCTCATTGTTGTGGATTAAAGGAAAAGAGGGC